TCATCTTTCACACGGTTTTCATTAACAGCCAACAGAGTACAAGGTACCATTTATCTCTGTTTCCTCTATCTTTTGAAATTAATATCATCTTGGTTCTCTTCTCAGTTCGGTTACTGAGAAGACTGATTCTGGTTCCAGTCTAATTTCATTTCGCATAGTTTCACTGATAATTCTTACGAGTGATCGAAACGCTGCAACTACACCAAATAGTACAATACCTATTCATTGTTCATCGTGTTGCTTAAATTGGCCATGAGAAATTATAACTCATTTATAATTTAATCTAAATAGAGAATCTCTTCTCGCACGATGCTTTTTAGTACCATTATCCAGTTTCATTTTTCATATCTACGTTTGAAAACGAACACGAACAGATGAACATAGTCTGTGATAATTTCTTTTGTACGATACTAGAATATATTCCGAAACTTGAAGAATACCATTTTATTAGCCACGTCGTGTTACAATCAACGACAATCACATGGTTGAAAGTTCATTTCCGTATTGCTCGGTACTCGATGAAAAAAAATCGAGCGTTTAATGTTCAGTGTATTGTGTACAATGTTTGAAAATTGTGCTTGAGCCAAACTATCGCGATTTATACGTGCTTAGAAAATGGCGGAATCTACCATAGGGTGGGCCGAAAATCACTTCTTGTCAAAATAAATATAATAAAGTAATTTTTTTATTATATCTGGCGGTCAACATTCGAAAGAAATAATTCGTAATGAAATTAAAATAATGAAAAAAATTATGCTGAATTAATAACCACTTGCGCTGGCAACTGATTGCGGACCATAACGAGTGACCAAACCGTGTACAATAATTCGTCGGTATGATGTCACTGGGCAAAAATTATTGAAAAGTAATAAATTTATTGTTTCTTCTGCCTATTTTGTTTGACTTAAATACACTTAAAACTGAGAAAATGTTACAATTTTGGAACAAAAAATTCTCGACGTGCGTGGCACGACATTCCAGCGCAAGAGGTTAATTTAAAATTGACAAAATTAGTTCTTTCTTATACTTTGAAATTTTGTCTAAAAAAAAAAACAGATGGGAAGAAACTTTTAGCCTATCCTGTAGATTAGACTATTTCCTGTGATTTCTGTTCGTTGATTGAACATCAACGGTTAATAAACGCGGAACAAAATGTTCAGTGGCTAATGTAATAGTAAGTATAAGGTCGACGGAGAGTTTTTATTTGCCTAGAACCGGTACGATTGAAACGTAATTTTATACACTTTTATACACACATGGTTGGTTCCTGAAATCTGTGCTAAGAGTTCACATTAACGGTGCTTCCAGTTGTTTGTGTTTGTGTAGGTTTCAGAACATTTTCGAGAGTTGTGAGACCGATTTCGAACGAAATGAACTCAAGATTATTAATTAAGCAATACGAATGCATTAACGAAAATAATAGATTATGCCTGATGATAATCTGACTTTCCTTTTTATTCCTCCTGGTTATTCCAATGAAAAATAAAAACGTATAACGGACCGCTATCGCGCGTAAAATACACGAGTTACTACCCAATTTTGTAAATGTAACTGAAACGAGCTACTCGCACGAGTTGATTACACAAAATGCTTATTTACACGTACTAACAGTAGATTAATTCACTGAAACGTATTTTTATTTACTATCATTTGTGTATATATTTAAAAAAAAAAGCATTTATTACGATTGTGATAAATCGTTTATTAAAATTTTCATTGTTACAATATTGTACGCTTCAAGTTTCTAACTTCTTTTTTTTTTTTAATTTTACACGTGTAGGCTAAAAAATAATTTTCCAGAATGTTGTGCGTGTTGATTGATTAATTGAAAGAAGATGACCTTAGCCCTTGGTTAAATGAATGAATGAGTCAAGCTCGCGTCACAATTGCCGAATGAGTGAGTCAAGCTTCAGAAGAATTTAGGCTTTTAAACAGAAACTCGCAACTTGTCAGCGAAGAATTACTTCTAGTTAATAAATACTTGTGCATTACTTTTGTGTTATTAGTGAAATGCCGATGTTCGTGCATTTATAAAAAATTGAAATGCATAATAAAAATATGTACGTACAATAAAGACATTTATCACACCTACGTAATACGAATTTAGATCAATTTAAATCTTTTTTTGGCCATGCTCCTCCCTTGCGACACGTGATTCTTATTATGCAAAAGGTGAATTTTTGGACATGAAGGAAGCCTAAAAGATCGTTAATTTGGTCTAAACAAGCTTCCAGAGAACATGACATCAACGAAGGAAAAAAATTAGAAAGTTAAATTTTCATTTAAAGAAAGTATTATAACAAAAAATTCAGTATTAATAACTCATACTCGAATTGCCCCCCCCCCCTCCCTAAAAAATCAAATTGTCCTCCAGTGTGGCCTGTGAAACAAAATTCTATGTAAATTTCACTTCTTTTTCGCTCCTGAGAATATAATGGAAATCATATAAAAAATTCTTTATTCTCGATTTAACTAGACTCGGAACAACAGCTGATCTTCCATTGGCAAAAATCATTAATCGTCCATTTTCTCATTTCTCATTGAAAACAAAACACTGCCTAAAATTTCATCTGCTTTGTGCTCTCTCTGTGTACGGTAGGCCAAAAGGTTTTTTTTTTTTTTTTTTTTTTTTTTAAATAAAACATCAACATATAGAAAGAGAATAATCTTATTAATTTTAAATTAAATTCAAGTTCAAACGTGATTTTTCTCATTGTGGTTTAAAAATTAAAAAAAATATATAAAATAAAAAGTGATTTTTTGGCCCATGCTATGTAATACTTTCGCAGAGACAAAGCGATCCATTTATTATATGAAACAGAACAGAAAAACTAGAACAATTTCTAACGCAAGTGTTACGTAAGCATGACGCAACTATAATTGTCGTTAACAATTGTGATTGACGACGTATCTCGCTGCTGGAGGGGGACACGGTTCGGTAATTAATTTAATATTCTCCGGTTGGGATAGTTGTCGCCCTTGACACCGGAGTTTCGCCAGATGAGCACGGACAATGTACGCCTTGAACTCTTGCTTTGCAAAACTCTTTTCTTGCCGAGGGTGTGTTACATTATAGATTAAAGACTTCCGTCGTTGGTTGCGTGTCTTCTCGGAATTCACGAACGAAACGGCGAACCGCACGATGTTTGGCTCCCGTTTGTCCATTCAACGAGAGGCATTCAGGCCTGAATCAATAATTCAGATAAATTTAATTAGCCCTTAATTAACAGCTCGAAACGGAGAAGATACGGAGAAGAAAGATGGCGTTGTCTCGTCTTACGACGAAAGTGAATTTATGAATGAGAAATTATACAAGCTCTCCCTCTCGGACGTTGTCGGAGAAGCGGAAATAAATGGTTTTATCGGATCCTATTTACACACTATGTAGCGATGGTGAGTCACGGTGGATTGCTGTTTAGAAAAAAATCATTGTCTAAATCCGTGGATCCCCAAACGTGGAATCCATCCTCCTCCTCCACACAGGGAGGGGAGACATTCGAGAATGAGTCATTAACCGTGAATTTTTTGCATTTCTTTGAATGAAAATTTAACTTTCTAATTTTTTTTCCTTCAACCAATGTCATGTTCTTGGAAGGAAGGTTGTTTAAACCTTCCTTCACTTTTCAAAATTCACTTTGTATCGAATAATGAGAATAATAAGAATTATCAGGAGCGTGATCAAAAAAAAGATTGGGGACCACTGGTCTGAATTAATCGAAATCAGTCGAAAGAATACGTATTACGTGTAACTTCCAAATATGGAACTAACGTTAACACAGTTTCGATGATAATACCACGTACATACACAGAGCCCATGTAGAATGCAGTTCACAAAGAGGGGAAAAAACGAAGACCGGTTTGTCTAAGGAGTAAAATTACCTTATGACTTTCACATGAATTTATCACGGACGTGTTTCAACAAGAACAACGCTACTCGTGATCAATTAGAACATTTTGTAATTCGACCGTTACCAAACTTTATTGTTTCTTTATAGTCACGTGAAATTATCATTTTATTTTTTTTTTTTTTTTTTACCTTTCACTTTATTTTTCATTTCTTTCAATCGAATCGCATTCTATCATTCCTTGAACAATTTTTTAATTTAAAGAAATACAGGTCTGTGCTCTCCTTGTCTTTCTATTTCTCTCTATTCTAAATATATCTTTAAATGCATTAATATGAATACGAATATTACAAGAACAAGGAACAAATAATATTTTGTTTTTTTTTTTTTTTTTTTTTTTTAAGAAATAGCAATGAAAGACAGTCGAAAATGATCAAATATTTTCTGATTAAAGATATCCTATTCAAAAGAATTCTGACCTAGTTAATTGCACGCCTTCCACGTTGTGCTTCCTACGCTAATACTATGTACTTGGGAAACTCCTGAGAATATTCCTTGACACCATAAAAGGGAACTGTATGTAGAGGAAATTGGTGACACTGGCTGATTGCTCTCTTTCTTGCGCAACCTTTACAAATCATATGAAATGAATCATTTAATTTAATTTTTTCTTTTTTTTTTAACGTTATATTTAACATACCGTTTGTTTCGATCATTTGTGTCTGTAATTTTTTTATTTTCGAGTATTCGGTGCAGCGTTATTTCGTCTCGTGTCGTTTAAAGGGTCAAGTTGAAACTTCTTCTAATTGGATCGGAGCAGCTGCTTCGTCAAGGGTTTCTGCTTTAATGTGTCTCTCAATTAACTCGAATTTATTCAACTCGAATTGTTGTCACGGGGTCCGAATATTTTTTCCAGTTCCCTTTTATTCATTTGCGAGAAAGAAATCTCCAGTTTCTTTTATTTATTAACTCGCAAGACATACCAGTTTAACTTTATTTAAATTCAATATATTTGAAGTATGTGTTCAATACGATGTTACACACACGCGTAAGTAAATAAAGATATACTAAACGGAGGAACGATTTCTCGCGCACGGTAACGGTGTTTAAAAAAATTCGGACTTTACTCTCTCTTTCGATTCACGCTCTATTCCACGGGAGTACGTTTCCTAACCTTACCGCTTACCGGTTAACAGTTTACGCCCTTCGATCGCGATAAACGCAGGTTTTTGCACGGCGAAGAGACCGACCGCGGCCGAGCGTTTCGATGTAAAAAAAGTCGAAAACAACGACGTGTTCAAGAAACATCGGTACAGGATGTGGTTAGGGCGATTCCAGTCGACACGGTCATAGGAAGTAGGATGGTCGGCGGAAATTCTCCTCCCGAAACCGACTCGTGAACTCGTACGCTTCGTCTGCATACGTACGTACACATGTACACACGCGCATGTACGTGTCATGTAGTACTACGTACGTGCATGTTGTATACACATATGTGAGGCTTCTAAAGGCACTGTTCGTTCGCAGTTTGCACTCTCCCTACGTTTCCTACGCTTTCTGTACGGCCGCCGCCGCCGCCGCCGCCACCGCGCCGGTGAAAAGAGCACAACAGTTTACAAGTAGCAGCCAGCACTTAACCACATCAGCCAGCTCAGGACTGAAGAAACTATAAAGAAACTAGCGCCGCGTGCGTGATGCGCCGATCGCGGATTAAAGTGGAACGGAACCCTCGGAACGCTTAATTTTGTGTCTCCTGTTGCGCCGGTATTGTCACTCAGGCACTTTGTGTTTCTTCAGAGAACTCGTAACTCGTGACTCGTTGCCGTTACCGTTGCTCTTTCATTCATTCATTCATTCATTCATTCATTCATTCATTCATTCATTCATTCATCTATCCATTCATTCATTCATAATCTAGTGATTTCCCTCGTTCTTCCTCGTCGTTCTTCCCTTTGTGATTTATATTACAAGTGTCTGAAAGCGCATTTGAAACGAAGGCCTCTCGCGACTCGCGAATGAAAGAAGAGGAGCCAAGTGGAAATCGATCGAAACGAGTCGAGTGCTTCAGTGATTCAGTGCGGGATTCAGTTTGTTGTTGGCCCCTACTCGTCGACCCTTTTGACGATTGTCACATTGTAGGTAAACGTTTGCTCGAGGCAGTCTTGGAAAAGACGTGACTGTTTGACAATATTATGCAAATTATACAATATTATTGTCTGATACGTTAAACATTAGACAATAATATTGTGTAAATTTATGCAAAGAACAAACTTATCTTACATACGTGCACATGTTCAGATATTTTCTTAGCATTTGAAAAGATCTGACTTTTTAATTATTTTGAAGAAATTGTTAGAAATATGAGGCTAGAGTAATGTATACCAACCTTCTGGATGGCAAATCGTGGTCAATTCTATCAAAGTTACGTTTAAATTTGAATCTGAAATTGAGAGTAAATGTTGTCAATGCCTCGAACTTTGAATGCGTGAAAACGAAAGTAATCGGCCAGTTAAATTGACATAGTACTAGCCAGCCCAAGTTACTACGTCCTAAAAGTCACGAAATTTTATCTAGTCTCAGTTAACGGTTTTTTTTTTAATCTTGCCTTTTCAAGCAAGTTGTTTCAAGGTAATTTTAAGGTAATTTTGAACGAGTCAGCTTGAAACGAAAGAAACGAAGAAATTGTCCGATACGACAAAATGACATTTTAAACGTCATAAGTTTACGAACGAGATCCAACAGGTTGGTGGACGTTGCTAGAAATTGAAGATATTCCATTCGGAATCAATTTTCCACGGGACAGAACGGTGAAAGTTGCGAACGCGAACGATCTCTTGTAATCTATATTTGGCATTCTGGCGAGCGCATTTCGTACATAATTTCTCACGAATTCTCGAATATAATGAAATCGCTGCCGGTCGGAAATAAATTTTCCTCTGAACAAGAGGGAATCGCGCGACTCTCTGCAACTGTGGAATAATTTGGCACACTTTTGAAGATTTGATCGTTACTTTGGCAAATTTATATCACATTATACAGTATTTTCAATTTATAATATTACTTTCAACTTTCAACGTTGTTCCTCTGTTTTTCGGCGTCGTTTGATTTTGTCTTGCGAATTATTGAAACATCAGCATTGAACATCGACTGGATCGTCCTTCAATCAAAATTATCACACGTACAATTCCGAAGTTAAACATTAACAACAACGAACTAAAATTCGAACGGGGTCGATCTGAATCTTTTTCCAAACGTGGTGAAATTTATCTTCGATACAGATAAATAAGTTCAAACGTATACGAGAGATTCGCAAATAAAGAAATCGTGCATGTTTAACCTTTTCGTCATCATTTTCAATACTTTTTATTTGACTTTAATCGCTGTTTTAATATCTTAAGCATTTGAGTATTATGTTAGAATAATACATTTATTGATTGACAATTAATAGAAACATTTTGAAATACCAGTTAAACACTTTGTAGTTTCTTTTCACAATTCTGTTTCATTTAATTCCAAAGACAAAAGTAACTAAAAAGAATTTGAGTCAATCTTCCACAATCAATCGCCGTTTTCGCCACTCTGTTCCGTGTTCAAGTATTCAATTCTTGAGAAAAAAAAAATGGCCAAAAGTTCTCGGGGCAATTTGCGTTACCACTTCCTTCCTGCGTGCAGAAACGAAAGTCGTATCACGAAAACGACGACGTCGGTCACTGTCGATATCGTCTTCCTCCTTCAGTGACTGTGCAAAAGAAAAAAAGAAAAAAAAAAAATTGGAGAACGTATAAAAAGAGGAAAGAAGGTGAGAAGGAGAAAGGAAAAAAAGAAGGGAAAGAAAGAAAGAAAGAAAGAGGTTTTCACGCGATAACGCGGCGTTGAAGCTGCTGCTTTCGCGGCGCCCCGGCGTAGTGGGGAAAAGAAGCAACGGTGAAAGAAAGTGATACGGTAGCCGTGTTCTATTCGCCGACATTCCCAACATCGGAGGAAGCGTGCAGGATTTCTTTCACCTGTTGATCGTCGTTGCCGTCGACCATAGGCGTTTCCAATCGCGTGCCGAAACGAGAATGGGGCAAAAATCACGTCCTGTAAGACCACGCCTCGGGCGCGATTTATTTCATTGATACTGATACCGTGGACGTTTATGCAGATTCATGTAATTTCAGTAACTATATACAGTGACGAATTCTCTCTCGCGACTACAATTGTGGCTACTACAATGTCGCTCTAGTCTTTTTCTACGAATCGAGGAAGAATTCCAAGTTTTACTGAAATTTATCGACGACGTAAAGTCAATGTACAAATATCCGTTTCTCACGGATCAGGAAAAGAAACCAGTGAGAAATCAGCCCGCACCGTACCGTCATAATTATCTATATTAGTTTCCCTCGCTTAGTAGCACTTGGTGCTCCAAGAAACTTAACCCAGAGATCCGTACGCTCCACGATACTCTCAATTTTCCTCGTGCGTCAGCAACTGTCGCCATCAAATTACTCCGGCAGCTTCTCCGCATCGAGGAAAGCATTTCATCATCTCGGTAGTTAGAACTGTTGGAATCTCTCGGCAAAAAGCGGTTAGTCAGCGGATATTCTCCTACATATACATACTTGCCATTGGCTGGTTGGAACACCCGGTTTCCGGTTACAAACCACTCCTTTGTGCTCTTGATTCGTCGTCTCATCCGGCTCACAGTTTTTCCTCGATCGGGAACGAAGAACGAAGAACGAAGAACGAAGAACGAAGAAACACGTGGTCGACGCGAAATGCATCTGGGCGGAAGGATGACATGCAGTCATCGATGAAACGAAGATCATGCAAGAAAAAGTATTGCGACTGCGTGATATGCCGTGAACTGACCGATTGCAGAATGTCGGCCAATCTGGAGGCCCCGGTTCGTCGCGCGGAGGGCATCAACTTTATCTTGCGCCGTGCCCTGCCATTCACTGGCAAATCGCCGTCCAAAGAGTGGCTAAACATTAGCAACGACACAGCCAACCCTGGTGACGACGACGACGACGACGACGACGACGACGACGATTACAAAGATGGCGCCGCGATAGACGAGATTGATCACGGGAAAGAAATGGAGAACGAAGCGATGGCACCGGTAACAACCGGTGCGAAGAAAGGCGACAAAGACGTGGCTCATAAAACTGTCATCTATTTCGGCGACACGAACCAGAAACAAAGCAACAGATTCAACGATAAAGAAGCTTCGTCGAATCGTTGTCAATTTACGGTTGCCAAAGATGAATCAAAGATGACGGGGTCGAAGAAGGACGAGCAAGTCGTCGATGATCGAGACCGAGATCGAGATCGAGACGATGGAGAAAGATACAGCGGAAAGTCGCTGGTGAACCTGGCAAAGAACGAGGACGTCAAGGTCACGCACGAAATCGTGGTGAACGTCAGCCCCAGCAGGGAGGACGTGCTGAGAATCCAAGAGGACGAGAGCCAGGTCGAGGACTATTGGTCCTTGCCGGGGGATAACACCGGGTTCAAGGCAGACTGGAGCTTCGTTCAACAGTGGCGCTTGAGGGGGTAAATCGATCGTAGTAGAAATGTCTTAAATCTCGAGCTGTTGATTCCTAAATTCCCAAGAGGGGAGCTCCTCGACGAGCCCCGCATGTCTTTTTGTTTATTCTAAAAGAAATTGTTTTTTCCTACTTAATTTCACTTTTCATTTTTGGTAAAAGAGACAACAATTTATTTTCATTTGTACGTGTTTTGAAAATTGAACTGTATCGTAAACTGAATCGAATTCTTTCAATGTTACGCGTGAATGGAAAAACAATACATCTCCTGCACATGTGATTTTCACATTATTGAAAAACAACGTTTGCTCAGGTTTGCTCAGGTTTGGGTTAGGTTTGAATTTCTGTGTCTTTCCAACTAATTTTCTAACTAAATCATGAGCTGACTCTTGTCAGAAAATTTCGTCTCTCTATATACGCAACGTTTCTAACATACAAAAGAGGAACGTTTCTAACATTATTGTAAAATTTGTGAAATCAATACACCGTCTTTGCTTTGATCTTTTATCCTTTATACAAACGATCACAATGAGACGTATTAAGAGAAATCTACATATTTTGACTAGAAACTAGATTTATCTCCTCTCTTCTCTTCTCTTCTCTTGTGACATTTACAAGTCAACGTTGTTCAACCAACAATGTCTAGAAATTCTTCACTGATCAAACCTTTTTTACTCGATCCATCAAAACATAGTACATAATATATGACGAGAAATGTGCAAGCTCGTCGCTTGAGTTGTATTTACACTACTTTTCATTACCATCGCGGATGATTCATCGAAAAATGGTTATTTTCATTGAATCCGAAATTTTATCGTTCAAAGTGCATTTATTTAAAATGAAAAAATACGCAAAAATGTACAAAACGTCCAAAATGTAGCTTGTCTTTTTACTACTTAATATGCGAAACAAATCCTTTAGATTCTACTTAAATTTACGAGAGTGTGAATTTACATGAGCATCCATAGTCTAGTTTGTGTGTGTGTGTGTGTGTGTGTGTGTGTGTGTGTGTAATACTTAAAATATTAATAATAATAAGTCAATACAAATATGAGATCTCATTGTGGAAATGAAGGAAATGATATTTATTCCAACGATTTGACAATGACATTAAAAAGAATGTCTTTCTTTTAGCCCGACCGGTGGCAATGGACGAGAACTGTATTGCCCTCCATATTCGAAGGATTTCACGGAGAGTTCTCCAAAAAATGGTATTCACAATACGGTCCACATGGTTGCGGAAAGGGACACGGACAGCGTTGCTCCAACGCCAACGCCAACGCCTCAACATCCTCATCACTCTCAACACTATCATCTTAATTTACATGAAATTCGTGCGCTTCAGGTATTCCTTCAACATTCCTTTTACGACCCGAATACTCTTCACGAGCATCAACATGTTACGTTAATTGTTTTGAACCACAATGGTAACAAACGCCACATTTATCATCAACAAAATGTTGTTGATTTCTATTTTAAATCAGATAAACGTTAATAATAAATGTATGTACATCTTAAAGAAATTTCAATCGCCAAACTTAATTATTATAATTGTTCCACAAAAGTAACGCTGCTTGTTAAAGACCTAGAAGTAGAACGTAAATACCCAACATTTCATTCTCGTTCATTAAACAAATTCTAAAGACATTATGCGTGTTCTTCTTTATATGCGTTCGTCACCGTTTCAAGATACACGCGTTATCACGATGTCGAAGCATACGCTATAAAGTGTGAACATGTTTTGCAGAGGCGACCAGAGTGTACCGGTAATAGCTCGTCAGATGAGAACCGATCGTCCGGGCACGCGAGCATGTCGGACACAGGTGGGCACACGAGTAGCAGTTCGCCACCCCATCGTCACCATAGGGCACACAGTCCGCAACAGCTGAACTCTGTGCCGGAAGACGATCGCTTATCGGCCTCGGTTACCCAGAGAAACGGCAGAAATCGATCGGGACAGAATCGTAACAGACACAGAGCTACACCCGCCAAGGTGTGCTTTCTTAAAATGCAAGGCAGTTGATATCTCTATAAAGATATCTCTGACGTTGGTTGAATCGGTGAAAATAATAATAAATGATCGTTCGTCGTTGAGACAGAGGACATAAAATATTTAGCAATACATAAAATATCCGAAACATAATTATTAAGTAACGCAATAACGTTTCCATTTCTTTCTAGCTGTGTTTATATGAAATATACTCATGCACAAAATTAATTCACGATTAATAATGTACGTGTATGTATATACACAGGGTGGGCCATAAATCACTTTCTACTGAAATAAATCCGCAATTGTTTTTATTATATATTTTTTCCAACATTCAAAAGAAATAATCATGTTTGAACTTGAATTTAATTTAAAATTAAAGTTTTTCCTTGTATTTTGATGTTTTATTAAAAAAAAATTCCATTATATATACGTATACATATATCTTTGCTCACCATTGAATCAATTTTACTACCACTACCAAGAAATTTTTCAATGTTTTCATCGATCATCAAGCTACCAGCAAACTACCAAAATGCAAAAATGCTTTTTCCTTCAATGGCTGTGTTGCAGTTACAGGTGCCGTGGTCTGGGTCTGGCCTAGAAGATATCAAACTAGCAATTCAGCAGCTTACCATGCGTTCTCATAAATCGTCTTCCACGTACTCCTCTTTGAGCGGCTCCGAGAGTTCAGAACCGGCTGTAAGGAGGCTCATGAGACACTCGAGCTTAGAAACCATCAATACGAACGTGACCAGCGCCGACGAGTTCGTCTGGGTAGACTCTCACAATCGGTTGGTGGAGTTGCAACAATTACCGTGGACGCATCACGACGTCCTTCGCGTGTTACAAAATGGTCGCACCAGAGAGCACATGGAGCAAGTATCTATGGAAACGATACCGCGTCTTTCTTACCTGCTGCAACGAGCTCTGGTCAGAATCGGCCGAGAGACTCAGCGACTGGCTAAACCTGTTGGTTTGTGCAGTAAACACGAGGTGTACAGTGCGTTTAAGATCGTCCTCTGTCCGGCCTTGGCAGATTCTTGCACCAAGGTACGTGAAATGGAACACGATGGCTTGTTGGTGCGACAATTGAGAATCAATTCCTTGATCAATTTGGAATTTTATATCTCACAATTGTAAGATACGTGTACAGCGCATTTTGCATTTGCAAATTTTAAAATTGGACCTGACCTTTAGAATAAATTCACATCATTGTACTCTTTGCAAAACTTGAAAAAAAGAGAGAGAGAGAGAGAAATCTTACTAGTTTAGAAAATACAACTAGAGCTAAGCAACAAAACCTCATCAACTTTGTAGTAGTCAGTCATCCATTAATTTTCATGTTTGTTTCTATTCTATACATGCCTGCTTTTGCTAGGGATCACTTGCCAGGTAATAATATAACAATATAAAAGTAGTAGTAATAACGTTAGTACAATACAATGCATAGGCTTGTAAATTGCTAATTCTTAATAACTAAGTCTGTCTATACTGAATGTATCATGATATTATGAATAATGTGAATAATCAGTCGATGAAGTAAATTGGACAATTTACTTCTCATCCTAGTAATATTGAAAGGGACTGTTACTCTTTCACTCTTTCAGACTACGTTACAATATAATAATTATAATATTTTTCTATAAAAGCATGTTTAAAAATTAATTACAATATAATATGCGACTTTTTTTTTTGTTTTTTAGGCGTGCTTGCGTGCTGCAGCGATGTTCGCCGTATCTGGCGATCAGTTGAAGCAATCGAAAGCATCTCGATCCGGATTGCAACTGCCAGTGGGACGATTTCTTCGTTGGATGTCCGATGTTCGATTAGGAAGAATGATACACGAGTACGCGGCTATATATTTAACAGCTGGAATCGAAAATCTGCTGGAGGAAATACTATTGCAGTGCATACCGACCGATTCCCATACAACGTTGACTGCAACCATGTTGGAACACGCTATCGCCAACAATGGAGATTTATGGGGCCTCCTTCAACCTTACGCGCATCTAAATGCCGGTCGAACGGCATCAGGTATAAATAAATCATATTCTGGCGTTGCTGGCATTGCTCCACTGACTCGAATCATTGATTGTTTTCAACTAGCTTACCTCTTATTTTATGCTTAATTAGAAAAGTTCACTAGAACAATGAGTATCAAGTATGTATCAAGTTTTGACTCCTTTATCTAAAGCACTAGATAATTTTACAATATAAATGGATTTTGTGTTTACTTCCATTGAAATGAAACAAGAATGGGGAGGATATAATATGAAGAGACGGAATGAGGATTTATTTTTCTTTAGATTTCAATAAGATAGAGACTAATTGAATGACTAATTTAATTAGCATTTGTAGAGAATAATTCTACTATCCCTTGAAATTTTTGAAATTTATGATAAAGAGAAAGAGCAATCTTAAAACTGCGAACAATACTTGCGACAGATACTTGTAGTTCGCTTCATTAAAAGCTTTTAGTAAAATTCCTTATATCATAGGATAAACCTAGTCGTGCGCTAACTTTAACTTTAATTAGAGATTTCAGTTGAAGATTACAAAATAAAGTTCAAAATTGGTGAAAAATATTTATAGGATATAAAAGGAAAAGATAACAAAGATATTATATAAAAAGTTTTATAGTCACAAGGAAAAGAAAACAATTTTGAGTTGACACTTGAATGAGATACTGTTTCATCTCTTGACTTCGATTTCCAGCTTTTAATGGAAATACTCTGCGTAATATTTATAATATTTATAACAACTGCCATTACTGCAATAACTGCAATTTTCACAGGTGCACTTGCCATGCCACGTTGGGCCAGTGTCAGTTCCCTAAATTCCTCTTCATCGTCCCGCAGTGGAAGAGACGCGGCAGGGTCAACGTTAGAACCATCGCTTCTAACAACCTGCGTCGGATCAATGCCAGAGTTGATAGACTTAATCTCGAAAGTGGCGCAAGTAGGACGCTCAGCTATACCTCTGACAACCAAGGCGTTGAACGCGCTTTTTTATTACATGAGGTGTTCGCAGGTTTGCTCAACTTAATCCTAACCTTTAGTCCCTTTTCTGTCGTCTTTGTCTCGCGGAACGTAATCTAACGTCACGCAATCACGTTTACGCAGCTGGAGCACGGTGAACGAGGCCTGGGGATACAGGAGCTCGCGTACGAACGAGCATACGTCGTTCTTCCGCCGCTGGTCGAGTGGGTAAGGGTTGCAACCGCTCATGCAGAACACAGGCACGGACTAATTGTGGATCAAGACGACATTAATCAAGCTGCCAGATTGCTGTTACCCGGCGTGGATTGTCCTGTCAGGCCGATATGGTAATGCAAAAATTGGTAACTGGGATTGAGAAAATTTTTAACAAAATTTAAATTTAAAATCTAATGACGTTCTGTGATAAACTTCGTCCACAGCTTCGAGGAAGTTTCACTGTGCTCGAATCGTATTGATGACTCAGAATACGTCCGGCTTTTAACCATGGACATGGCCTTCAAGATGCTAATAAGCGGTCGCGCAGATTTAATAGTTCAAGCCATGCCTCTCTTGCCATCGACAAAGATCAATACTGTGAATGATAACGGCTTCACCGCTTTAATGATAACGTGTATAAATAACGACGAAACCGCTGTCCTAGCACTGTTAGACGCTGGTGCCGATTTGAACGTCGAAAGTCCACCTCCGCCTACCGGACAATCAGCGAATATACCTTCCAAGACTCCCGTGGCGCTAAACGTGTCAAATACTAAAAGTCCAATGACACCGCCTACTATGATGACACCTGGAAAGAATGCGCAGTCTCTAAATTCATCTTCCAGTTCGCCAGGCTCGTCTAGTAACGTTTCCAATAGTACGTGTTACAACCACCACTCTGGTTTCAACGCGGAAACGCAACATTGGACTGCTTTAACGTACACGGCGTTGTTAGGACATTGTAACATCGCTAGAATATTGTTGGAGAGAGGTGCAGCTGTCGAAGGTGGAGCTAAATTGAGCGAAGACAAATCTACGGTCACGCCATTACAAGCAGCCACAGCATCTGGCAACTATGAAATGGTTGCACTTCTTTTGGCTCATGGAGCTCAGCCGTTTTTGTCTACTTTGATAAAAGATTCGTTTTCATACTCCGGTTCTGCTCAACGGGGCTGTTACAGGCAAATAAAATATCTTTCTAATTAGTTTTTGATTTATCATCGTTCAAACGTCACTGATGAATTACAATTACTTTCTATTGTTACTTTACAGTGCGATATCAGTAGCAACGGTTCATGGTCAGAGGAGCTGTCTTCATCAACTGTTGTCTCATCCGTTAAACTTCTCTGCCAAACGAGGGGAGAAAGAAGTATTGTCGTTGGAGGAAATTTTGGCAGAAGGTAGTGCTGGTGCTAGTCCTCAACAACAAACTGTGGACGGAAGAGGAAATAGAAGAGAAGGGAAAGAACCAGTCTTTAATAAAGTTCAGACTAAAGCTTTACAAGAAGCAATGTATCACAGTGCCGAAAGCAACCATTTAGGTAAAGCCGCCCAAGTTACTGTCTCGAAGAGTATATCTAAATGTATCTTTCTCCTATATAAATATGAATTTATACAGATATTACGATGGAACTTCGTGGATTAAAAGTGGGTTGGACATTGCACTGCTGGATGCATAGTCTTGCAACAGCTCATGAAATGAGATTAGATTCGGTAATAGATCAGTTACTTCAAGATTTTCTGCAAGTCTGTCCAGATGACTATTCAACGCAATTCGTACAAGAATGTCTTCCATTGTTATTTAACATCTTTAGATATAGTAAAGTAAGTTATAATTCAACTTGCTCGATCAAATAAGAATTGAGTGTCTTATATCTTTTGGTTTATGTTCTGTCTATAGAAAGAAGGCACAACGCTTCTTCTCGCGGATATTTTCTGCACGTGTTTTGGATGGGAACCGATAAAACCCATTCGAGACACAACGCTTTCTAGCGGGTCCAGAATAGATCCCAAATTTGTAAATAATCCGGAATTAAGCGATGTACAATTCAGAGTGGAGGGCAGGGTGTTCTATGGACATAAGATTGTTTTAGTCACGTCGTCACCGAGATTTAGAAATATGTTAAGTTCAAAATTGTGCGAGGGAAATCCTCCTATTGTACAAATTAACGATATTCGATACCACATTTTCCAGGTAATATTCACAGAGTTGAAAAGTTCTTAATTTTTTTTTTTTTTTCTCTTTTGTCTTTTCTTTTTTTTTTTGTTTTATTTAGAATTTAAATTGTATTTTATATATTCAGATGGTCATGGAATTTCTATATCACGGTGGTTGTGCCACATTAGAAGTTAATCAAAGTGATGTTTTGGAATTAATGGCAGCCGCGAATTTTTTCCAACTGGATAGTTTACTTAGATATTGCGAGGCACAATGTTCTTCCATGGTTGATCTTGACAATATCGTTTCTATGTACATTCACGCAAAGGTATTTTGCTTAAATTTTATTAGATACAATATTACAACGCAATTTTTCTTTTAAGAGAAAATATAAACTAAACGATTTGTTATTCAAAAATTTTCAGGTTTACAACGCCACACAACTTCTCGAATACTGTCAAGGGTTTTTACTACAAAATATGGTTGCTTTATTAACTTACGATGACTCGGTTAAACGTCTATTGTTCGCTAAGAAATTGCCTAATCACGATGTTCTCGCGGGTCTTCTTCTTACTTTGCAAGCAAGGATAAAAGCTAGACGATCTCAACAACAAAATAAGATAAAAGCATAGAGATACGATAGACACCAAGCACGGTATTTATATCAACATTGTGATTATGATTTTATTTTTACTATCGTCGATAGTAATGATAAACATATTCACGTATGTTTAAATAACATCATTTATCTAAAAAAAAAAAAATAAAAAAATAAAAAAAAACTACACGTAAACTAAGACTGAGTATTTCACGATTTATTTTTAATCTTTTTCTAGCGGGTATTCACATATAAATTATCACTAATACGCATCAGTTTGCATTCCATAAGGTATATATTAATAGATCATAAAACTTACGTTTCTGCCATGTATTTGTTTCGTCATTGTTGTGTAGTATTTTCCGTTTAAGCATTCTTTGTGTCAACTATAAATGTATATTTGATAGCTTTCAAACTATGCCGTTACAAATGAATCTATCGAACGTATATAATATAATTAAAAAATTTCTAAAAATTAGTTTATCCATCACAAATTTTTAAATAAATATGTAAATAAATAATTATCATAAGTATAGAAGATGGTATATGCTGTGAATTTTTAGTGACGATAAATTATTAATTATATATAACAAATGAATATATAAATATATATTTTGTATATAAAACAGGCTGAACAGTTTAAACGTGATAAAAAAAAAAAAAACGATGATGCGAAATATTAAAATGTTGTCACGCATTAATAGTACAACATAATTTGTACACCCCAATTACAATAAATTACAGATATTGTGATAATAAATAACTTGTTTCACTTCTCGAAGCTTAATAAAATTGCCTATATTTTTTTATCACATTTCTGTTTACATATAAATTACTGAACTTTGTAGTTTTTATCACATTGCAGCATTAACTTGCAGTAATTCACGAAAAAGAAAAAAAAATAGAATGCAAAGTATTGTCACATAATGTCTATACTGTCAACGAATGAAGCTCGTCACACCTTTAATAAAATATTACGAAAAACGTGATTCATTTTAAAATAGAAGGAAAAGAAGAACGAAATTGCCTACTACAATTTTCTAGTACAATAAAACATCGTAAAATTCGTTACTGCAAAATGAAATTGTTTCTGCTTAGACCTTAACAATGTAACAATATTAATATCATATATAATGCAATTTATTTTAAATGTCAATGTTTAGTTGTATATACAATGTTCAAGTTATAATCTTCATGATAATGTTTGGAGTTTTTAATTTTGGAATGCCTAATAATCATACAAGAGTCAAATTGATTGAAGAAAACGGCTGTCTCAATCTTACGATAATCTGTACTATATTCTTTCTTTCATTATTATCGTTGCAAGCTTCAAGATATGGAGATACATGCAAATCATAATGAATAATGTTATACTTCTAGTAAAGAATAATTGTAAAAAATGATATATTCACAATTTATACAATTTAATTATGCTTAGATTAAGAATATTGATGTTGTCATATGTTCACAAAAGTTCTTAATTACATAAATTATCGTGTATTTAATAAGAATTATATGATATATATCTCTTGTAAAAATGTAAGCTTGAAGACAGTTTTGAAGAAGTAATCAGTAGGCATTCCCTATATTATGTGATATAAATTTTAAATTGCAATAAGTATACTTTAATATTTTCTTAGTACCTGTGTATATAAGAAAAGTAAAATATTTCAAACACGTGAAAAATGTAAATTATTTGTTTTCTTTTTTCTTAACATTACATATTTTATAATGTGAAGCTGTTTGAAATAATTAATTTATAAGAGCAAAAAAATTGCCTGCTATAAATGCATGTGTTAGTACTAATTTATGCATAATTTTAATTTAAATATAAGTGGAAAGATGAAGAGCAATAATAATATTTTAGGTCATTTAATATTTAGGTTGTTATAATCAACCTATCCTAATTGGATAAGGACAGAAAAAGGAAGGAAATAATATATTATATAATGTTATTTTTATAACAAACATGTATAATTATTTAGTGATAGAAAACGAATTAATTGTTTTGAAATAATAACATACAAGTAACAAATTAGTGAAAAGATATTCATTTTGCAAAGTATAATTTCTGCTTATCGCTTCTCACTACACTGGATTAATTGAACAACAAATATTGTGAATAATAAAATATATATGCAATAGAAAATTACATTTTCAAGTGAAAACCAGATTACAGAAATTACTTATAGCGCACAATTATAAAAAAATTTAAACAAGAATATTGTTGAAGATATAATAGTTCTCAATATTAATCAATTTAGTGCCACATTTATTTCACATATTTCTGAGATAAATTTATATCTCTTTATGATCATTTTATGCATAGGTAATCTTCTAATATCAATACAATAAAATGTTAAATGGTGTATTTTTTAATAAATTTATTGAAATAAATTAATGAATAATTTTACTAGACAATTATATATTAGATAATTGTCTAATAATGATAAATATCAAAATGTTTAGATGTTATATATCAATAAATTAATAGAATACATAGTTTTAATATAGATTTTCAACAAACAGTATACGTTGCCATAAAATTTGAGGCTGTAATATAACATTGACATTCAGCTTAGAGGCTTGTTCTATTTATAATGCTGTATAATTTATTGAAAAAATAACATTTGATACAATTAAAATGATTTATCAAAGTGTCTGTTAGTTAATAGCTTGCAAATACAACAAAATTTATAATTGCAAAGATTATTTCTGTTACTAATAGAAGCCTGCTCTAAAAAGTAATGCAGATGTTTAATATCTTTGTTATGTTCAATCTGAGTTACTAAATTCAAATTGCTTTAAAATGAAAAATAAAAAGTAAGCATGCAGTAAGAACATTATAATGTGTTTCATAAATTCGAAGATAAACAAGGATAATACGCTCGAATTACATGTTAATCAATTTACAAATGAATATAAAATAAGTCTATCCTCTCCCCATATTGCATGTCCGATACAAACTGGCAATTTATATTTTTTTATGACATTATAATTCTACAATCAGTAGGATAGATTGAGACAACCTTTTTCGTTCGTACGCAATATCTACGACGATTAGGTGCGCTAACTTAATTTAGTGACTAGAATAATAATTAATATAGCAACGACTATGATTGCGAGCAACAGTAGGACAAAAATTTTTCGTCGATATTTACTTTGGTAATTACTTCCCTTGATTAACTCTTGAGTTCCCAGCTCAACATTCGCGTGGATATCTTCTATATGGTTATCTATCGTGTCTGCAATAAAAAACATTTACTCAAATATACAAGAACAGTATACATATATGGGAATCGCTTACTGATTGAATCTCCTTGTTGATGCACCAATGCTGCCAATTCGCGTATTATTTGATTTACATCCAAAATATCACCTTCGATCCGTTTTATCCTATCTTCTCTCTCTAACAGTAAGCCTTGTTGAAATTCAAGATTCCTAGACACATTAGACCCAAAAAGACAACTTGTAATTTACTTTCTTATTTAATAATGTATAATCGATAATGTTATTTTACGAACTTGTATTATGTATTATAATATTCATTAAAATAAACTTACCATACGTTCAAGTGCATTTTATAACTTCTCTATATTAATAATACATGTTGTAATTATGTAACATCTTTTTCGGTGAAATTTTTAAATTCAAGCTATTTCGATATTCATACTATAAAATCCACGAATTATGCTCATCTTACAAAAATCATGAAAAAAGCCTATTTGAATTTTAATTTTTTAATAATGTTAATAATGTTAGCCACCTTTGAACCCATTGCTTGTGTGTAGACTGTGAGAAATAGTCAAGCTTTTTTCACTACTAACATGTGCAGATATAGTTATGTATATTTATGAAAATGAATATATATAGTTTACATTCGAACCTTTGTGTCACTCTGTGCTCATCCTCCTGAGCTTGAAGTAAACGTTGTTGTTCCTCTTCCTCGGGATCCATAGGATTTTCTATATTAATTGTAAGCAAAATATGTCTCTTCATCTTTTCAGCAATTGACTAGAAATTTCATGAGAAAGCAATTGTAAGGGCATGATAATGTTAGAATTAACTAAGATACAATTAATGAAATATATTTTACCTTCTGCATATCTGAGTATCTTTGCAAAGCATCTTTGAAATCAGTGGTAAGTTTCTCAATTTGCAACTTTTGTTGTTTGTCACCTCGCCTCATTAGCACTGTCAGTCTTGCAATGTCTTTGCTCGTTTGAGTCACTACTTGATTTGTGCTTAACTGTGTGACATGCCTTGTAATTAAATAAATGTGAATGTGAATAAAATATAAAATGTTTCAACATAACATTTTCACATTGGTGAAAATTTGTTGCATCTTAATGAGTATCACACATGGCCTAGATTACTCTGCCTTTATTTTAGATTTTTCACAATTACTTACACCTTATCTCTTAGACCCTGATTATCTTTATTGGTTCCAACATTTTTATATGCGCGTTCAAGCGTTCTCCAACTTGTGTTTATTGTGTATATGTTAGTGGTAATATTTTCACTGAGACTATAAAGTTCAGTAGGACTAAATCCTACATCAGGTACATCTGTCCGTTGATCTGTGGACCCATATGTTTGAGAACTGTGAGCCATTCTAAAAATAAACAAATTTTATTATGATTTTACTGTGTGAAGTTAAAGAACCTGCAAATACTGACAACTACAATAACAACAAACATATGTACTTTGTATTTTGTCTAACAATCTTTTCGCATTTTCGTGAAATAAAAAATGAATTAAATCTCTATGACATATTTATGAGTAACACTGATATATGTATTATCACATATATAAGTCACTGTTGTAACTTTATATTAATAATAATAATAATAGTAATAAATATATTAAAATTTTTATATATTCCAACTTATTTACATTAACATGATTTTTTTATTTATTTATAATTTTTGTTTAGTACAAAATGGAAAAGCTTCTCCTAGATTATATATATATATATATATATATATATATACATACACACACTCTTAATCAAACCATTCTCCCTTATACTGTTAAATACATATATCTTTATATCTTTTAATGCAATTGTACATAACAAGCAATATTTAGACTTTTAAGATTTTCTATCTATGGCGATATTTTAATAAATATGCGAAAAACCCAATGTAAATATTTAGTAAATTTTTTGAAACTGTCATAAAAATGATATATTAATTAGTAGAATATCGTATACTGCTATATAAACAATATAGCAAAATTTCAGCTGATATGTATCTCAAAGCTCTATCGTGATTATATACAGCTGAATAGTTTTTCAGATCTTTAATGGTATACGACAAATACATACATGAAATAGCGAAATTAATGCGAGATAAAAATACATGAATAAATATATAGACGCGACGTACATGCAGAACAAACCTGAATTATTTTATCACAAATATTCTTAATATCTAAATATAAATTGCTTTATTAATTTACATTTAAAAATTAAGAGGACTATTTTTATGTATTGAATCTTAGAAACTGACAGTTGCCTAAATGATCTAATCCACCGTCCATGTGACAATAGTCCTTTGTGTTCGCAGCCGCGGTTGCAACAGATTTCTAAATTATCAACGTTTCGTATTTTTTAAGTCCAGACACGATGTCTGTAACCAATACGAACATAATAAACAACAAATAAATAATTCTCTGATAATAAATTAATAACAACGCAACATGCATTCTCCGAATTTCAAATTAGTTTTTATTACAAAAGGAATTTAATGTGTGTCTAGAACACCGTCGATACCACTAGATTCAAAACACCATTTTGCAGATGTCATCCCGTTGTGTTGTAGCACGAAAATACGAAGCGTAACCTTTCATGTAAAGAAATTAATCTCTGCCAGAAAATTTATTATTGAAATAGACAAATACAGATATTAATCAGCTATAAAATTATTTTTTATCAATTCATGGAAATGAGAGTGTCTGAAATACCGTCTTATATATTACTACCATCGGAGTCAAAAATAGAACTATCGATACATTTATTTCAATATATTTCCATCTATTTAACACAGTAAACGATGAGAAAAATTGATAATAAAATTTTTCTATTGAGTAGTCGAATCAGCTAATGAATTACGTCTCGAAAAACTGCAGGTTAGTCGCATGACAGATATTGGCTTGACAAGACCTATGGCACGGAAGTTCCCGAGTACGACCGACTAATTGCGAAAGCCTTCAGAAACAACAACCGTCGGCCGTAAGTAAACGCTATTGTGATTTCTCATCGTTTTATTCGCAAATACTGTACATTACTGATCTCCTGCCTGTCGCGATAGCGAATTTAACGCTAGATTACCACATTGTGCGCATTTTTTTTATAGAAAGTCTGACGAGGAATCGGAAAATTTCGTAGAATTTTCTCGAGGGTTGCTTCCGAGTCAATACAGCTCGTACATAGGTCGTCGTGCGTCATGTCGGTTCTGAACTCGTCTTCCATTTCGTCGATTCCCCGTCGCGTTTCACAACCTTGTATCTCGCTGTAACTGCGAGATTTTTTCGCTCGGCCGACCAGTTTTCGCTCGAATAGCAGTAAAATTGAGCAACGCGTGAGTGGTAATCGAGTGTTGTTCGCGAACATCTACGCAACTTCCACTTTTGACATTTTCGTCGGCGTGACTTTTGGCGTAGGTTCGTTCCCTTAGCTCCCAGCATGTTTCCTATCGTATTCTCGGCTGTGTACGTTTCATATTTTATTCGAAGCAATTTTTTCTTTTTTTTTTTTTTTGCAAACTTCATTCCGAAAGTAACGATTTCCAACGAGTTTATAGTAAAATCCCCTCCCCTGTGTCGTGTCCCGTTGTCTCGCTTCTTTTCAAACGAGGTTTTGAAATTAGTACGTTTCCTCGATTGTTGGTCACTTTCTGCTCAGTTGCAAAATCGACTTGTTTATTTTAGAGAGAGCTATGCATGCTGCTTACGTCAATCGTTCTTTCAACGTTACTCTATTCTTTTGCTCGCCTTTCGATTAACCGTGTTTCTCTATTGTTGCACGGATTTTTTTCAAGTTTCAAGCGAACAATCACGAAATTCACTCTTGACACGCATGATCTTCCATTTCGATTTTACACTTGATTACCCCTCACTCCTCCCTTGGACGAAATCACAAATAATTTTCTATAATAAATTTTCTATTGTATCGTTTCTTACATATTGGAACAGCCAGCGCTATGGTTTGTACGCCCATATTGGACCTATTTTATTAAATTGGAATTTAAACATTTGGTTTTTCATTTTGTTCGCTTGGTTGTACAAACTTTTCGGAAACGGAAATATATATTTTTAGACAGTTCCACAAACTTGATCAATGTAATCTCGACTCGTGGAAAAGGACAAAATACTGAGAGTTTTTGTTCGTTGAAAGAATTGCGAGATCGAAGGGTCGTAACAAGACTAGAAATTTTTCTTTAATTAATTTATCGTGCTTCTGTGTAAGTTATGGAGAAAAGTGCTTGTTTCGATGTTGGTTACATTTTGGTACATTCGTTTTGCGATGGATGCGGAGACAGACTTGTAAACATACGTATGCAGGAACCACACGCATGTATTCATCGATCAATGTGCACGCACACATAGGCGTGCACAGAATCAACCAGGCGTACACTATCTCATTTTTAATGTTTCGGAATTTTTATCAAAATAGATAGCTTTCAGGCTTCCGATTTTATATATAATATTTTATATCTAAAATTATAATTCTATTTCTTTTTTTTTTTTTTTTTTCATATTTTAGATTTATTATTCATTAAATCTCTGCTGCTCCATTATTACGTACTATGAACAAAGAAACTAGGAAATAACGTTACGCTAGTAATACCTTGTAATTGACATTCTAACAAAGGACAAATTTTTACAATCATTTTCACGAATGTTCGAATGTTATTTGTTGGAAAAAAGAAAAGATCGCAGAAAAGATACTTTTGACTTCAGAAGAACTAATCATAATTTTATTTTCGATCCATTGTTTTGTTTCTTCTTTATCGTTAAAAAGTTTCATCAACGTATCAATACGTGTTATTTCTTTCTTCAATTTTAAATTAAAATGCCTTTTTTTGTTTTTTTTTTTTTCGTTTGTCGAAACGAGAACTGAATTAGAATAAAAAAAAATTTTAAAGCTTTAACAAGATTAGTAGCGTCGTGATTCGCTTCAAATCAATCTTCAAGCGAGAATGTAATTCTCTTTGACGTAAATAAGTTTGTCACCCTCTATTTCTATAATAGTACATTAACGATTACAACCTCGAAACGTTTAATACTTGAGACAGAGGGGGGGGGGGGGAGAAAGAGAGAGAGAGAGTGCGTTACAACGTGTGCACCCATGGCGAACGGGTTTATCGTGCGTCTTTAAATGCTCGCTCATATGATTGTTCCTACGTCGGACGTGACGACCGTGTGCGGCCTCTTTGTTACACCAGACCTAAAAGCTTATCGTACTATGAATAGACGTACAGATTTTCTTTCAGTTCAGTTCGTGTGGTTAATTTACATTTGAATTTTAAGCTACATACGTAGCAAACTCTATCATTTATTAGAAATTTTTAGTAAATTCGACGCCTATGCTCATACGCGTGTGTCAATTACACGAACAAAAACAATGTATAGTTTGAAGAAAAATATAATTCGATTTTAATTGAAACATCGAGAAATGAAATTCCTTAAATAATCGCCGTAAAGCGACGTGGAAAAATTTTAAAGACAAAGGATTTTGGATCTTCTTTCTGCAGTGCTGTCTCTGGCAATTATCGTTTACAATGTTGGTATTATCGCGGATTTACATTCTATTTTCTTGCTGTCATTTTAGAGTTCGTTTGGAATGTGAAGAATAAGTTTTAGATAAGCTCCTTCAGATATTTGCTTGAAAATTTCACTCGAATCAACGTGCATCATTTTCTTTTCTTTTTGGCTGGCTGATCTTATCCGTTATCAGCCGTCAAAAGTTGGCAACCTTGTTCTAAGTCGTGGAGAGCAACCGTCACGGCGCATCAGTGACGTGTCACGTGAGAACACAGAGAAATGGATGACAGAATATTTGAAGTATTCGAAGAAGAATAGCAACTGTTCGCTGTAAATTCCATTGCTATCGCTTTCTCCATTCATGGCACGTGGCTCTCTTTTTGCATATAATTTTTTTTTTATCTCGCTACCGTTTCATGTATTAGAAATATCAAGAATGCTCTATTTTCGTTTCGTTTAACTAGGATTTCGCATCAGTATTTTTAATTTTAATCACATTTGTGAAGAAGTAGTATAAATAATAGCTAGTTATAAAATAATAGCTTTTGTAAATACATTTGTAAAGACATTTTTGTAGAAATAATTTTTTCTATTTAGATTATTTCTCTGTATCATTCTGCGATAACAACATTTATTTATGAGTTTAAATTATGAATTTAATTGTACATTTAAGTTGTACGCCCTATTAGTTTCGTTTCATAAATTACAAAATTAGTACGACTTTTTTTAAAATCTTGAATTTTCGCTATTGCAATTCCAGGATTTCGTGGACATTTAAATCATGGAATGCGTTCATTATCTTTATTTCCATGCAAGTTTTATCTACAATTTACAATAAAAAAATCGACATTGTTAAATATTTTTAAAGTTTATTACACCAGAAAAAATTGCAGACAATACGTGAAAAAAAAAGAGTTAATTGCGTAGTTATAAAAGTGTTTGAAAACAAATTATCCGTTTGTTAGATACAATCCAAGTATTTTCACATATGTGCTCAAATTTAAGTTTGAGCGAGATAAATTTAGAGCTGCTAAGAAATTTCGTTCATTATTTTAGTAATTGCATTGGTCAAAGTGCAAAATCTTCGTTTATTTGTCTAACAAAGAAGGTAATACAAATCTAAAAGGAAACGAGATGGAATACCTGTTTAGTAGTGCATTAAAGAAATTTTCAATGTCGGAACATGTTGCAGACGGTGACCTTCGTCGTGCAAACTCAAAGTAATACTTCTTAAGTCGCGACGTTTCTGTATATGTACATGCGTGAGTACATACATATTCAATCGCATTTAGTTTCCGCTTGTACCGCTCACGAGAAGCCTTGCAATCGTGTATTGATATTCCAAAATTACGTTGTTCAGTCTAATTCTTTATTCTCATTTAAAATAGCCTAAAACAATATCATGCATGTATATCTTTTATACTGTACTAATACTGTTAAAAATTTCAATCGAAAATTATTATTCTAATCGGAGAAAAAGCTCGTTATCGATTCATTTTTTTTTTTTTTTCTTTTCGTCATAAAATACATTGTTACAGAGGCAAACAAACCGTCCAAATTCTAACGTTGTATCAAGTTTATAAATGTATGAATTAATTGCTCGTTTAAGCTCGAATTTATAAATTTCCATGCGTTCTAATCGTTATTAATTCAGTCTAATGTTTCGTTCCCCATACAAAAAGTTTCTTTCACGTTAAAAAAAAAAAAAGAAAAAGAAAAGTTGCAATCCACAAGAAACGAATATTGCACAAAGAACAGTGCGTAGAATTGATATTGGAATCTGTCTTTTTTTTTCTTTCTTCTCTCTTTTTCGTTTCTGAGACAAAGCTATTCTCCGTTTTCCTCGATTTGGCAGCGTGTAATTGAAAACAGACCGAAGGTTTTCCAG